ATCATAATAACTATTATATAATAGCAATAAAATCATAATAGTATTGAGTAATTCTTGTAAAATTCATTGAAGAAATCTGAGAGATCTCGAGAGAATATTAGTCGAATATTTTTGGCAATTTTCATTCTTTTTTAATATTTAAATTTTACAAAATGTTGTAGAGAAAACAAACTCATGGCATTATTGATTTTAAGAGATATAATTAATTATTTAATTTTTTAATTTTAGGGTGGAACCAAAACGACGAGAAGAATGGCGAAAAAAGTAGCGCCTGCGGCATTGCAGACAGAAGTTGTTAATGATGAGGAATGGGCTAAGGTATTGAAACGGAAGGGTTTAGTAGGTAAGTATCTAAAAATTCTCTCATATAATATACATAATCAATATCTTTCTGATTAGAGCATTATACAAAATTTATATAATGCTTTTATTTAGTAGTAGATGTGTACTCAGATTGGAGTGGTTCTTGCACAGGCATGGTGAGCATTCTGAAAAAGATAAAAATGGAAATTGGAGGTGATGCATTGAGTTATGCTACGGTAATTATTAAAAATGTAAAATAATTATTATTAGATGATAAGCGTAAGAATTAATTATTAATTATCATTAAAATTATCATGAAAATAAAGAAATAAATAAAGAAATGATTATTAGATATTATAATAAGGAAAAATAATAAATAGGGCAAATAGCAAATAATAAAATTAAGTACAAAATTAATATTTGTGGACAGAATAGGATAGAAGTAATATAGTTTATGAGAAAGAACATTTGTATCATAAAAATTAATTATTTCTTACGTTAATTTAATTGATTAATTGATTTTTGATATTTTAAGATCACTAATTTTATTTTATCGTTTCCAGGCAAGTTGCGATCGCGTTACCGATTTAAATAGGTTTCAAGGAAAAAGCGAACCTACATGGATGTTTATTCACGTAAGTATTTTGCAAGTAATTCCATATTATAAATCTGCATGGAAAAATTATTGCAATTGAAAATGTGGCTTTCTCGCAGGAAGGTCGAATGATAAATTTAATGTTCGGAGCGCATTGTCCGCAGTTCGTGAAAATGCTAATGACTGAGCTTGAAAGAGTTCAAAAGGGTGACGAACACGAGTAAGTTGAAACGATCGATGCTATTCACGTGAAAAGTATATATTTTACTATTTTTTTTAACCAGTTATAATTTAAAATTCGCTGATAACTCAACTCTTTATCGATTAAAGAATCAACTTATAAAATATAGGTCGAAGTTGAATATATTATTGCTGATCGTACAATATGTCATATTGTAGGATATAAATACATTAATTAATTTTAAATTCTATTTCTTTTCGTTCAAAATGTAAATTTAATGTAGATTTTCACTCGACGTTTCCGAAATGAGTCCAGAAGAAGTAATACGATTGAAAATTCAGGAAGAGGCAAAAATAGTCAAAGAGACTGCAAGGAAATCTCGAAAAGGTAAAATATATTATTACGCATTAAGCTCTAACACTGTTCGTGAGACGAACATTTGATTGTGTAAGAATAATGCAAATTAAATAAAAAATTATACAGAATCGCATTTCTCGCATAATATAGCAGCAAAATTATTACGCAGCGGCTGAAGCTAAGGCAAGATATGAAGCGGAGATGTTGCATTTGACCACATCATTGTGCAATGAGACTTGTTTGTTATTATTTCCTTGGATATTTAAGGATGAAGAAGGACGTAGAAGAGACAAGAGGATAAGTCCACCATATGTAGAGTTAACAGAGGAATTATTACCGGAAAATTTCATAGTAGAACAGGAGATACGCAAACGATTGAATGAAGATTTAATCCGACAAATGCTCGATGAAGTATCTTGTTCTCCTACTATACCGATAGATTTAATATTTGTATTAATGTTAATAAAAAATTTATCATTCTTTTTATTTTTTAACACGCAGTCCACATATAGCTTTTCGGAGATTAGCAAACAATTGCTCCTCGATGGCAAATGTATGTTTATGCGATTAAAAATCGTCGAAGGAAGAAAAAATCTTGACGTTCATAGTCATTTATGCAATATTCTGTTCAATGAATCGACTTTACCAGAATCGGAAGACTCATTAAATGAGGATTGGTGTGTGAAAATGTGTTTTAATATTAATTTTTGTAATATAATT